AATTAAAAGAAATAAACATTTGAAATATATCAGTCTGTGTGTAATGAATGGATATAATATACAAGTTTCACTTTTTGAATGGAATTAATGAAATAAATCAACTTTTTGATGATATTCTAATTTTATGACCAGCACCTGTATAGCCTTATAGTCTATGGGAAACTGTAAATTATCTAATGATAGCAACATCATCTAAAAGTCATCATTTATCCAAAATGATTGAAATTAATGATCACAAATGTTTAAACAATGACAGTGGGTCTAATTATATGTGATAACAATGTATAGTGTGCAGTGAAATAACTATTGGTTTCCGTTTGTGGTGACTGCTGACTGACATAAGGGATGAGATTAAATAAATCCTGGAACTTAGCCTGGTCTGGAGCAGGCTAGCTCCACAGAATAAATCTCCATGGTAATTTATACCATAACATCCTGCCCCCATCTAATCCAGCTTTAGTGCAACCGGATCACGGATAAATTGAGCCAGGATCACCAAGATATCCCGGCTTAATCCCTTATCCTAGTTTTGTGCAATAGGCCCCTGGTGTTTTAATAAACAGTATCTGGTCAGTGGAGACATCAATATCATCTTAATGGTCAGGGCTCATCAGACTGTGGCTCACAAGAACATTATTCTGTTAGATTTCATACAAAATATTTACAATTCACAACTTAATAATAAAGTATCATCTGGTGTGAGGCTATGTGGATAGATAAAAGGTAAGCCTGACTGTAAGACTCAGCTCTTATCAGTCCTCTGACTGACCTTGGACGATTCACTGATCCGCAGGGGTCGACACACACGGCTTGGTTTGCCATTGTCCATTATGTCCCCCCAAGCAGCCATCATCTAAAGGACACATACAAAGGGGTTATAAGACCTCGTCTGACCCCGTGTTTCCCAAATTAGTAGCCTAAATGTAAGTGGACATTTAGAGCACCTGCTGTCCTCATCGGTCTGTGGTTGAGACAGCGATAACTAAAAAAACAAACACTACACGCCCGCGCACAGTCAAGATGACAAAATAATACGTGAGTGTTATAAATATTGTTATAAACTGACTGATGCTTACATTTGAACGTGAAGACAGCTGGGTACACTGTGATACAGTCTACAGCCAACGCTGTTACCGCAGCTTAGCATTTCTGTAACGCTTTTTCAACGGCGACACAAACTGGACCTCCTCCTGAACCGTTCTGTTTCAACACAGCCCCTTTTTGACAACGACATATGCTTGTAAATACATAACATCTTACAGCACAACGCGAGCTGCACAGCCTAGCATACCATGATTCAGCTAGCTTAAACCATAGGTGAGGGAAAAAAACGATCTTCCTGTTTAGGTTTTCAAAATAAACGTATTCTTCAGGTCTCATAACGACTTAAACTATTACAGGAAATTTAACAAACCCCAAGACTTCACGGTGAGATAGCGTCCCAATCCCTTTTTATAGCCTCAAAACAACAGGGCTATAATAAGATCTAAATATTTAGATCTTATTAAATCAGGGGTCCGAAAGGTGGATCAATGACTTTTTATTTGGATGAGCCATTAAGTCCGAACAGGAAATAATTATTCAAGAATTGTTATTTTTGAAAATAAATCACCTCATGGTAGAATTGTGAGCATATTCTCCGTCATGATAAATTATGTGTTTACAGAGAACCAGATTCCGCTTTATTGGCCAGGTGTGTTGGACACGTGAGTCTGGCACGTGGTTCTGCAGGTTGCTGCGACCGCACCACAGGACCAGCTGTCCAACCTCCCGCCTGTAGGCTGACTCGTCACCTTCTCAGAGGGTGATGGTGTTGAACGCCGAGCTGAAGTCCACAAAGAAGACCCGTGCATGGGTCCCAGGGGAGTGGATGTGTTGCAGGTAGTAATGCAGTGCACCAGATGACTGTATCATCCACTGACCTATTAGCGTGTGTCAGGTCCAGCGGGGGTCCTGCTGGGGTGCCGAGTTGTCTTTTTTTGCTGATGACAGTGCAATTTAGAAGAGAGGATGGAATTTGTTTTATAAACTACAAGTCTAGGAATAGCCATGGAAACTGGAATTTAAATTTCCAGCTGACACAACAAAGGCAGTGTTCTTTACAAAAAAAAAAAAAAGAGAATTTGAAGTAGGGTGAAGTCCAGTATTGGACAGTTTGGGAAGTGTTAGATTCTAACCTCTTTGTTAGAAATTAACCCAATTCTTTTGTTGGAAGCACGAGAAGTGACGACAGGAGAGGACTGTTTAAAATCAGCGGAAAGTTTACTGCATGTTTGATCACAGGTAGGCCTTACAGTGCTGGGATCAGAGAGACAGCGCTCCTGCAGGAGTTCCATCCACTGACTTCGAATTAAGGTCTTACAATACATTTTATTTTCTTGGGCTGCTCCGCCCTAAACAAAGGTACAACAATTCATGCATTGTAATCCTATTGGTCATTTGGTGTGAGCAGGAGCTCACACCTCCTTGCTGGAAGGTGATCTACACTAGGTGTGTGTGTGTGTGTGTGTGTGTGTGTG